AATGGTTACTAAAACTGATACCTCAGTGTCCAAAACACTGGCTCAGAGCAACAATTAGTTGCGTTGGTCTTTGCCTCTGACACTAACAATCCACCTGATGCCCCTTGATTAGTTAAGACCTATTTCCCTCCACTCCTAACAGACCTTCTGAGTTTGCTAACAATATATATTTATATATATAAAAAAAAATACTAGCCTCTTTCCTTTGTTCACCAAACGTTCGACACTTGGGGTGTCCCTGAACAAGATTGCTCACTTCACACCATAGGCAAACAGAGGTCATGTCAATTTAGTTTGGTATGTCTAAGGCACAGTATATATTAGCCCAAATCACTGGCTCTCCTGTCAGCTGAAGATGTGGATCTACTAACCCCCTAAAACAAATCCTCCACCAGCTACCCAGAGGACACTCATGCCAATCCAGTGCCATCATCCAACCAGTTTACAACTCATGCTTCTCACTATCCTGAGCTCTGAGCTCTGGCAGGACTTGCTGCCTTCAAAGGGAGGCCCAATTCATGAGGTCCTGCTATTCACAGTGTTTACTCACCACCTGATTTGGGATTACATAATATTTCTATGTACAAATAGAACATATGCAAACTAAGGTGCACCACAATATAATCTCTTGAAATTAAACAGAAGTCACATTTCTTGCTCATTCCCAAATCTTCTCCAGTGACCTCTGAAGGCAGTCTTTCTTATGAATGAGATTTCCAAAATTTGGCACATTCAATAATGGGCTTCTAGTCATCCTAAATCTCTAAGTTGCACAAATACAGAAAGGATAGCTTTGGTGCTCCTCTAAGGGCTTGAAATGGTCAGTATTCTATTTCATGCTGGTCTCAACACTAAGAAACAGAGGAGAGGCTCAGGATCATCCTTATGTATCAATCTTAAGGTAAGAAACCTCAACAGCCAAAATCTACCTTACAACAATAATATGCATAGCTTCTGAAGGGACTACCATACACCATGGATAAAATGACACTAATGTTAATGGAGGCACAAAAAAAGGCAAACAGCAGTGCCTCAACTCTGCCATATGCTTCTAGAGAAGAACCTTATTGCCATTTAGGCTGGAATAGTTTGGACTTTTTAATTTTCCTAACTAGGCTGGCCAGTTAAGTGTTTACTAATAAATGGGAATACCACAACTACAGAAAACAAGTCAGACCGGTTTTAACCGGTCTGACCAAGAGGGCCCAGCCACCTGCTCAATCTGCCTACTTGTCAAGGACCCAGCTTGAGGTCTATAGGTAGAGACCATTGCCCTGGAGCCCTAAGGCTGCCCTCTCAGCCTTAAAAGCAACAAGCTGGCCACGACTGCTGCAGGACTCTTTTTCCCATTTTACCTCATCCTTAAGGTCAAAGTCAGGTCTCAACTAGAGACCTCTCAGTCCAGGAGCTTCAGAGCATCTTGTCAGCGAACAGGCATATAGTGTGGTGAGCTACAGCCCATGTTTAGCTGTTGTACAAACTTGACAGTCTCCCTGGAAATTCTACACAGTGTCTTTTGCAGAAAAGTATTGCAGAATTACTTACAGCTCCAGTCCCACTTTATGTACTGACAGTGGGCTTTATGGAGAAGGAGGTTATCAGTAAGAGAAGGCTGGTAGACCTTATTTTCAGAATTAGCAGCCATTTTAAGAGCAGTCACAACTTGCCTATGTCTGGACAACTTGTCAACACAAATTATGCTTTTCCCCATGAAGGCTGCTGTTAAAAGCTAGCATGACCTCCCCCTCCCGGGGAAAAAGGAAGCTGCCCAGACTTGCTCTCACCCCAAACAGAGCAATCACAGAAGGATCCTCTTAAAACACCAGGAGGATATTTTTAGGGCAAGCTCAGCAAAGTGTAACGTCACTGCAGCAATGACCTTTGCATTTTGATGACTGGCTCAGCCCCACAGAGGTAATCCCCAAACCCTTTCTCTGGAATTCTCCCTATTTCTGTCTTACCATCTAAAAACAACCCTCCCAAATCACCCCTTCAACTTGAATTATAATATTTTTTAAACAAGGTTCTGCTTCAAATTCTAATACCAGCCTCGGAGGCTAAGGGGGGAACACTGCTGGCACAATAAAGGCCTGTAACATTCAGGAACAATCACACATAGGTTTATTTATACCAAAGCCTGGATGGGAGAAATAACATGTTGATAATCACAGAAAGGTTCAAGAACTATCTCAAACCCCAGAACCTCTCAGCATAATCCCAGCACTAAGACTGGAGAAACACTTGCCTTAGTCTCCCATCTCCAAGGAAATGAAGCCTCAATCTCAAAAACAGGCCCTCCACCCCATTGCCAGAAAAGAAAAACAGCAAGACTTGACGAGATATGTGGTGACTCTGGAGAAGCCTACACTATTTACAGTATCTGTCCACCCCAAGCTCTGGAGTCCTGCCAAGACATTCCCACCTGTCTCAATCTCCTGCCAGGTAGAAGGGCAAAGAATTAAGGGGGAGAAGAGAAAGAGTATCTCCCCCTTTTCTTTCAATTGCCAATCTCACTTCTACCAAGTGCAAGCCAAGCCTCCAAAAGAAGCCTCATAGACTCCAAAGCCAAAATACTGTTCACTGTTCTCAGGTTACAATCCTGATTCCTACGGATCCAACTAGAGCTTTTCAGACGGAGGGGAAAGAGAATTAGAAAAGGGGGGGGGTGGAGTGGAGAATGAATGCTATATTCCCTAAGTAAGATCTCAGGAGAGCCAAACCAATGGTCTATTTCCTAAGGAACTAAAGAGTACACATTAATACATGAGTATCTTTCCATCCAGAAAAGATGTGTGTTCAAATTCCCCTCCCACCAAAAGTCCTTTTATCTACATATGAGGCTCAAGGCCTGATATCGCTAGCTTCCCCAAATGGAGGTGCGTAAATTGGCCGTAAGGGTGGTGAGAAGGTACCAAGCTTAGTCTATGTATGAGAGAGAAAGGAGTAGGTATAGAGAAGATATACTTCTGAGAGTCATACTTATATCTGGCTGGTTTTGTTTTGTTCAAGGAAGGTAGAGGATGAAATCAAATTAGAACAACGAACAATAGGTGGGAGAAAGGAGAGGGGAAAAGTTATCATTCCTCATTCCAGGAGAAAGGAAGCAGAAGACTGGGAATATAGTTGGGGTTGGAAGAGAAGGGAATTAAAGTACAGATTTGGGGAAGGGATAGCCTCAGATAGGACACACTGGGTTCGGCTAGAAGAGAAAAGGGGCCCATAAATCCAAGAACCAATCAGGTGTTATGAGGGAGCCTTCGACTTTATGACTTGAGGTAAGAAGTCTGGAAGGTAAAATGAGGTCAAAAGAACGTTTAACAAATTCTGGGTGAAAGGACTCTGAAGCCACACTGAGGAGAGGGGGAAGAATCAGGCAGGGAAAAACATGGAGAGAAAAGATATTTCTGTCCCCAAGGGTGAAAATCAGGGTGAATAAGCTACATTTTTTCTTTCTGCAGGGTCACACAAGGAATGTTTGGCACAATAACAGGGACATAAGGGTGGTAAAAACCAACCCTACAGGAAACATTGGATAGGGAGAGGATAGTCTCATTTACCCTAAGCGGAAGAAGGACCCTAGTAGACGCTTTTCTGCCCTGCTCACTCTCCAGCCTCCCCAGTAAGAAATGAAACATTCACAGAGCCCCACCCCACCACCAAGAAATTGGGGGTGGGGATATGGAGAGCATCAACCAAGTGTGAAGGAGGGAGCATCTCCCCCATCTGAAAAGAGATTAAGGGGAGTGATATTAAAGAACTAGTGGAGAGAATAAGGAAAGGAAGGCTGGATTACATAGTGGGGGGATAAGGCAAGAAGTTTTAGAGTCAGGAAAAAAGCACTGACATGAGCACGAAATCAGCAAGATTTGGAGGGAGGAAGGGATGCTGCTTTACTGAGGAAGTAGCTACAAAGAGAGAGTAAGGAATGGGGTATAGAGGAAGTGTTTAAAACCAGGGAGGCTGGAGTAGGAATTGTAGTATCAGGCTAGACTCCGGGAATAAACCGATATTGGGGTGGCATGAGGTGACCAAAATCGATAAGGTGAATATTGCTGAAATTACTTTATATTTATTAATCTTTATTTACATTCTTCCCTTACCCTGGTTTTCTTTGCATCACCAGGATGCTTGTGGGGGTGAATGAAAGGCAAAATATAGACAGATGAAGTAGTAGAGTGATAAGGATCAGGGAAGGAAGGGATAGGTCGAAGGACTGCAGGGAATCAGATTAGGGGATAGAAGGGAATGAGAATTCCAAAGGGTGGAGGCAAGACAGTCTATGGGAAAAATAAGGTTATTATAAGATTCCTAAAGATGATGTGAATATGAGATAGGGTTGTCAAAAATGGTAGGAGGTCAGGTGGTGGAAGCCTCTAAGGGAACAACAGAAGAAAGACGAGACTACTAAGAAAAGGGGAAAATTAGGGGGACGAGGGGGGCCGAATGGAGGAAATAAAAAAAATGAGGGGAAGAGAAATGGTAAAAATCATAGGAGATCCAGGCTGAGGGAGCTCCCCTCAGGGAGAATGGGGGGAGGGGAGGGCGATGGAAGAGAAAAGAGAAGATGAAGTTGCCTAAGGTGAAATGGAGGTGTGTATGTGAGCAGCAGCTAGGGAAAAGAATACGGGGAGGATGGCGTAGTAGACACGATGGGGAAGGTGGGGCCCAGTCTGGGGAAACTAAGGAAGGAGATAAAGAAAAACTAGATTGGGGGAGAAGAGAGGAGGGGAGGGGAAGGGGTTCCCTATGACAATGCCTGAAGTGGGGATGGCGAATACATGGGTGGTATTGGTACTTCCAGACAGGAGAAAGGGTGTAGGAATCCCTCAAAGTAGTGGGGGCTGGAAGACAGACTAAGAGATTGGCGAGGAAACAATAAAGGGGGGGGCAGGGAACGGGGTCAGGGTTCTGGTGTGTGCCGTGTGCCCGTATTCCCGAGGGAGGCAAGGGGGACAGCCGGAGTGAGGGGCTGAGGTCCCTGCCAAGGACCCCGGCCGTACCTGGTAGACTGAGGCCTTGGGCAGGTCCAGGCAGACTGTGCAGCACAGCACGGAATACAGGCGCTCCTCCAGCTTGCCGCTCCCCGCGGACGCCGAAGCCGAAGCCGTCGCTGCCGAGGCCGCCGCTGCCGCCGCCGCCTCCGCCTCGGCCGCCCGCAGCCGCTTCTTGGGCGGCGCATCTGGGTCGCCGCCGGCCTCGGGTAGGGGCAGCGGGCGGCCCGCTGGAAGGCCCGCCTCATCAGGGAGCCCGGGCCCCGCCGCCTCTCCCAGCACGGACACGGACACGGCCATGGCGGAGGCGCCCGGGGGCCCGGCCCCGGAACCCGCGGGTCCCCCCGCTGCCGCCGCTGGGCCCCCGGCCTCCTCAGCCCCGGACATCCCACCGCAGCCGCCAGGCAGAGCCGGGCGCGCTCCCGCCGCTGCTGCTGCTGCTGCTGCTGCTGCTGCTCCTGCCGCCGCCGCCGCCGCCGCCACCGCCCGAGGGGGAGGGGGTTAGGGACACCGCGCGTTCCTGCCGCTGCCGCCGCCGCCGCCGCCGCCGCCGCTGCCGCTTCAGAGGGCCCGGCCGCCCGCGCGTCTTCTCGAAAGTACTGCCGCCGTCGCCGCCGCGTCAGTTGCTGCCTTAGACCCAGATGCAGACACCAAAACCGGCAGCGCCGCCATCTTTGTTTTCACTGCCCGCTCCCTCCCCCCCCCCCCCACCCCCCGTGGAGGCGGTGGCGGCGACGCCCATCACGTGACCCCCGAAACCTCCACCAATCAGTGTGCCTCTTGAGAGGGGGAGGGGAGAGAGGGAGGGGCTGGGGGGGAAATCGAAGCCTGGAGCTGGAACTCCAGTTGCGGCCAATCGGCGCGAGGAGGCGGGAACCTCAGAGACCCCGCTCCCTCCTCGCCCTTCTCCTAGGCTCCTGCCCCGCCCTACCTCAGAGGACAGGAAGAGGCAGAGCTCGAGGGGGTGGGGCCAATGAAGAGCGGAGGACGAGAGTAGAAGAGACTGAGAAAGGGTTGGAAGGCAGAGGACTACAAACTTCTCCCTTCCCTGGTCTGAGCCTTCGGGGGTAAGAAGTCGTTGGCTTCCCACAGTTTTTCACTCCCCGCCCCTCTGGACTGTTTAAGAAGAAAGGGATTGTGCCGACTTTCCAGACCCTGGAGGTGAGGCTCCCAGCCAGCCCGGGCCCTTTCCTCAGCGATGTCCCAGGCCGGTAGCATAGCATGCTTCTCCCTCACTTGAGGGAGGTCAGAGTGTCAGCACGTTTGGGTCTCCCTCGAGCCTTGCAGAGGGAGTGGGGCTGGCCCTCCTTGCCCCAGGGAAACCCTGCCCAGACCACCTGGGGAGAGAAGGCCAAGCTAGGAACCCCTGGGGCTCGGAGTGGAAGACAGAAGCTCAGAATCCCAGCGCAATTTTGAAGTCAAGCTAAGGCTATCTGGCCTGAGCCACGCCTTCTCTAGGGCCCACGCCTCTCCTGCTGATTCCCATTGGTGGACTGTTAGTGGTTGGGCGAAGACGTCCTTTATCCACCCAATGACAGGCAGTGGGCGGGGCCTGAACTCTTTCCTCCGGAAATAATGTTCCCGCATCCCAAACCTTCTCACCTTAAGCCTCTTTAGAGGAGCTCTTTCTTGTAAGCTTGGGACTGGGGGCCGCCTTTGAGATGCAGCTTCCTGATCTCTCGGGGTGGTAGAGCTCCAGACTGGGGTTAGCAGATGTGACTGAGGGCCTGCGTTAATTAAAGACCCTTTGGAGGGAGATAAATTAAGTTCCCTTTAAAATTTTAGGTACCACCATGCCTGGAGTTGGGAATGTAACTTCAGAGGGGATTGTCTTTGACTAATACTGATTGTATGGACACGACTGAAAACGACTGAACAACAAAAACCTTTTCCCCTCCCCCAAGTTGGCTGGCTAATAGATATCAGCATGAATGGTGAGGGTCCCAGGGCATAAGGATCTCAAATATGATGGATGGGGACCAGGCCAGGGTAGCATCTTTTCTCCCAATGCAATAAATGAAATATATACTAAGTGCCTATATGCTGAGCACTGTAATGGGGGAGGGAGGAGATACGAAACATAGATAAGGTCCCTCCCCTTATGAAGTTCAGTCTTGTAGGAGCAAAAGATATATCTAGGAATAAGGAAAAGATTTGTGATTTCGTTATTATTGAGAGCTCCCAAGTGACTCTTAACCTGTCAGCACCTGTGCAATTTATAATCCTAGTGAATTGCCTAGAATACTAAGAGGTTGAGTGACTTGGCAACCATGTGTCAGAAGTAGGATGTTGACTCAAACTTTCCTGGTCCCAAGGCTGGCTATCTATCCACCATGCCACATTGCCCCCACAATCATACTTATAATTGTAATATACAAAGTAGAGCCTATATCTGATTACACCCTATCTTGGGAGGGGGGAGGAGAGGAAGGGGGAGAAAATTTAAAACTCAAAATCTTATGGAAGTGAATGTTGAAAACTAAAATTAAATAAATAATTTTAAAAGTAATTGTAATATACAGTATTACAGAAGTACATTGAAAAAGTGCAAGATAAAGTGCTGTGTGAACTCTGACAGGATAAGAAGCCTGCTGTAGGAAGTGGTGGAGGCCTACTTCCCCATTAAGGTCTCCAGCTCCTGAACGGGACTTAGATCCTGCCTGAGCTATTTCAAAGTCCACCATAATCTCATCCCAATTACTAGTCATCTCAATTTACCTTCCAGTCAAACTAGCTTACAAATCACTCCTCAAACCCTTACTTAGGCTTTCTTGTTTTCCTCGTGTTTTCTCATTGCCATTCCTTCTATCTAGAATCATCTACTGAAATCCTGTGCATTCTTCAAGGCCCAGCTCAAATGCCTACTTTTTCATGTAACCTTCTCTAGATACTTCAACTATAAGAATCTCTCCCTTCTCTGTATTCCTATGGAATTTCCTGTCTATACCACTACTCTAGCCTTTAATTTTATTTTTTAAAAAATGCATTAAGTTAGGGGCAGCTAGGTGGCGCAGTGGATAGAGCACCAGCCCTGGATTCAGGAGGACTTGAATTCAAATATGGCCTCAGACACATAACACTTACTAGCTGTGTGACCCTGGGCAAATCACTTAACCCCATTGCCTAGCCAAAAAAAAAAAGAAAGAAAAGAAAAAATGCATTAAGTGCCTATTATCTGCTTGGCACTGGGGGGTACAAAGATAAATGTGGAAAAAAAAGCTTAAGATCTACTAGAGAGAATATGGCATGTACACAAATAAGTGTGATGCCAAGTAGAATTTGAAAGAGGCAAAAGAGAGGTCCAGATAAAGTGTCTAAGAAAATCTGAGGTGCAAGACTTCATGGGGGAGGTGGTATATGATCTGGGCTTCAACAGGGAGAGAGGAGGAGACGTTTCTGGCATGAGATACACTTTGTGGGAATGTAATAAAAAATGGGAATTGGGGTCTAATTTGGCTTGAATGTAGAATCCATGAAGAGATACAGTGTGAAATAAGGTCAGAAATGTAGCTTTGAGGAAGACTAAGGAGTTTGTATTTTATCCCATAGGCAGTGTTTACACACTAAACATTCTCAAGCAGAGGAATGACATAGGTCTTGATTACAAGCCAACATCCATGAGCAAAGTAACTTCAGAAAAGAATGCTAACCCAGGGAGGGGTTGTGTCTTTGACTAATACTGATTGTTCTTATATCCAGTTCTAGACTATAAGCTGAGAGTGGGGGCACTTAGGGGAAGGAATAGAGCAGGGAGGCAGAACCAGTGTCTCTAATCTCTAATATCTCTCTCTCTCTCTCTCTCCCTCTCCTCCCCCCCCTCTGCCTCCCCCATCTCCTTCTAAAAGAGGTCCCTTTCACAGAGAAGGTACCTAGTGGGTCTATTGAATACATGAATACATGAATCTCGCCCCATAGCTGGAGTGGGAAGAAGGAGGGACAAAACATAGATCCCAATACTGGGAACTTGGAATACTGTATTTATTTAACTCCAAGTGGTTAAATGGTGACTGCTGGGAAATGTGGGACCTCAGGAAAGATTTCTTCATTGAAAGGGATTGGGTACCCTAAATCCAATATTCCTCCTTTTCCACCACCCTAGGGCCACCCTGCTAGGTAGTTTGAGACTACAGCCTATTCTGCCCCTGAGCTCAGGTCTGGAGTTAGCCTTGGCCATATGGGGATTAAGTACATGGAACAGAAATGGCCAGGTTACCTTCAGGAACAGGCAGACTCACATTTCCCTAATAATCCATAATATTTATTAAAACGTCACTGAAAGGCAGAAGGCAGATTCCTCTCCTGTCCCATATACAAGTTCAGCCAAAAACAGTGCCCTTTGGATAAAACTCATATGTCCCTCGATGTTCCATCCTTGGTAAGAGGAAAATGAGAAGGTAGGTCCCAAGGGTTGCAATATTCCTTCCTCACGCCAACCCTCAACCAAACGGAGTACCATTCCCTGTGTGTAGGGAAATACTGAGGTCTTGGGGCTCTAGGAAGGGACTATGAGGGAGATGGTTCTAGAAAACCCACTCTGGGCAGAGCCCCTTACTAGCAAGACACCTACTCCATCTCCACAGGCTCCTTCCTTGTCCAGGGTGTGCCAATCCCCTTGCCATATTCCAGCAATCATTGGGGTTGTATTTCTTCAGCAAAGAAAAAACTTGGGCAGCTAACCCCATAGGAAGGTGCTAGCCAATGAGGAATGGAGCAGGAAAGTACAGGAGGAAGGAGGCAGCCAGAAGGTGATGACAACAGATGATGGGAGAAAACTCTCTCACTTCCCTGACTTAGCCTGAGTTTCTGATCATACAAGCCCCCAGAGATGTGGATGACAGCACAGTACAAGAAAGAGTTAACAATAATAAGTAGCCCCCAGCACACACACCTGCCTTGCCTTTTCCTCCAACACAAGTCCCACAGGATCCAGCACCTGTCCAGGTAGCCTCACTGGCATCCTCAGAATCGAGTTGGTACCTCTAGGCATCATCTGCTCCTGAAGGGGTCTTGCTTGCACCTGCCCCAGGCAGTGGTCAATCCAATTCCAAGTGCTGAGTGTGAAGAGCCCAACGATAAGCCCAACTCCCCACAGCCAGGGCCCATCGGCATGCATCTTCTTTTTGGAGAAATAGCAGTAGAGTCTCCTCCTCCAGTCGACTCATGAGACTGGCTGCACCTAATACCACACCACCACCCATTCCGTAAGTGTTGACAGTGAAGACAGACACAATGAGGATAGTTACTGCAGCCACCAGGGCCACAGCTTGACCAGCCACAGCCCGGGTCTCTGTGCCCAGATAGTCCCCAGCCATGGCCAGGACCATACCACCCCCTAGAAGCAGATTGGCCGTAGAGCGGTCTCCATTCACCCAATGGAAATCAAAGGC